AACTACATGTGCCAATGAAATGCTGATTTCCTTTGCCCTCTTCTGTTTGACCGAAAATATATCTCCTGGGCATAGAACAAAAAGTGTATTTTCTCTTTACTCCCTTTGCTCCCTTTTAGCCTTGACTTTTGCAAAAAGACGTGATTACAGGATCTCAGAGTTAAAAGAAATCTTAAAGGAAAATAAGCAATGCACTGTAGCAGAAGAACCTCAGTGACCATTGAGGCTACCTCTCTCACATTTTAAGCCCACAGGTAAAGAAAATGACTTCTTATCACAGGCAAGGTGATAACAGGATCAGAATGCAAGATGAGGATGGAGTGAGTCTTTGGTCTTAGTCCACATCCTCAGTTCTAGTCCAGAGGTGGGACAATTTAAAGTCCTTCCCAGCTCTAAAACAAAAGGCATAGATGGGTTTCAACACCATTACTTCTTTTATGCTGTGTGGCACAGGTCATGCTACCTAACCTCTATGAGCCTCAGTTTCCTTTAAAAAATGCACAGGATTAATGCAAGGACTGAATGAAATTATATATTTAAAACATTCGGTATAAACCATGAATTTAACAGCTACCAGTAAAAGAGTAGCTGTTAAATTTAACGATTATAACTTAACATATTAATATATTGAATTATTGGCAGAAGAAAGAATTAGTGTTTATGAATCAGAGATTGAAATAGTGACTTAAACTTCTAGGTAGACATCAGTGTGCCTATTTCCTAGCTGCTGACCCTGAAGATCATTCCTATAGAAACATTTGTGTCAGGTACCCTCAAGACTCTAAAAATCCACACTTGCACAGCTGCTAGAGATAGTCAGAATAAAGTCAGACTAGAGGGATATCTCCTAACACAGCGGTCCCCTACCATTTTGGCATCAGGGACTGGTTTCATGGAAGACAATTTTTCCATGAGTGGATGGTTTTTATTGTGCTCTTTATTTCTATTATTTTTACATTGTAATATATAATGAAATAATTCTATAACTCACCATTAAAAAAAAGAAAAAGAAAAAAGAGGCATAGATAGAAGTGGTAAATAAAATAATGGGAGGTCCGCCCCTAATTTGAAAGGAGATGGAGCTCACCAACTGCTCATCTCCTGCTGTGTGGACTTGTTCCTAACAGTCCTCAAAAGGTGGCCCAGGGATGGGGGCCTCTGTTTAATAGCACCATAAACCATGCATTCTCAGTTAAAAAAAAAAAAAGCCAATGAGTAGATACCCCTAAAATATCGCATACCAAATGTTCTGTAACCTTCCTGTTCTTTGGTGCTTTTTTTTTTTCTCCCCACACAGAACAATTTCCAAAACGGGCAAAGAGCACAGTAGGTGGCTCTCTTTAATATTTCGCAGGCAAGGCAACAGTGACTCACCAGATCCCACATCTGTGTCACCAGCAAAAGCCAGATGAAGTTGAACAACAAATGAAGCTGTGTGTATGCTGGAGATAACCTTTATTTTTTTTTTCTACCTCCTTTTCTGATTTCCTCCAGTCACATCTGCTTTCCTAACTGTGCCAGGTAAGAGGATGCTAACTGCCTACCTTTTGGCAAAAGCAAACATATGCTCCGAGATGCCAAAAACAAGAGCAAAATGTTTCTTCCACAACTTGGCTTGCTACAAAGAGAAACCTGATGGCCTATGAGGAGACTCAGTAGATAAGTGGCCCCACTGCCTGGGCAGGAAACAGATCTCTTCGTCTTCCTACGTAAGCCTGTAACCATCAATTTCCATAAAGAAGACTGAAACTCCAGACCAGTGATCAGAATGACAAGCAAGCAGTGGTCTTTTCTGCAAATGCTGCCTTTACACGCTGTTTTCACTGTTCAACTCATTACCCACAAAATTGGCCAAAGAGGTGAATGATGCTATGGACACTCATGGCATTTGTTGTTGTCTTCTTACCAGTCTTTCAACTAGCATGGGGATAGCAGAGGGAAGAAACCACACAGAACAGGAAGAAAAACGTTACATAATTCTGAATTTTATGTCTTCATAGTAACCTTCCTCCTAGGAATTGAAGGTGTATTACATTAAATACATGACAGTAGGAAGTTTGCCTTAGAGACCATCACTTTAAACTCCCTCTTCTGAGAGTCAGGCCCACTAAACTCTATAGAACCATATTTAAGGATTGTTCTGTGAGCAAGGAAACATTCACTTTTCAACAGAAAGGATATCTTGAAATCACCAGCCAAATAAGAACAATCTAATAGCTGAAGTAAATTGTTAAAAACCTCATTGGAGAAGCAACAGGGTATGATGGGAAATGCCCTACACTAGAAGTCAAAAGATTTGAACTATATCCCCAGGGTTTAAAAGGTATTAACCATGTGGTCACTAACAATTTCTCATTTCTCTGAGTTTCATTCCAGTTTTCTTCTCAATAAATTGAGACTAACCAAAAATAAATTTTTTAAAAGTATCATTTAATGAGCACCTACTCACTGCATGTATTGACATTATTTTATTGAATTTAATTCTCACACAAATGTATAAGGTAAGCGTTTTTTCCCATTGTAGGACTGAACAGAATGCACTAAATCATGAAACAAATTGCTCAGTATCACCCAGCTACTCAGGCATTAGAGTTGGAATTTGAAGTCAAACAGATTTGACCACAAAACATAGGATCCTTCCACTATTAATATTCCTGCCATGTCCTCTCAGGGCTATTACAAGTAATGGAGAAGGCAATATATATGTGGAATGTACCTTGGAAATTTTAAAGTTCTACACATATATAAGGTTTGGTAACAACAAATAGCAATCCGTATAAAGAGGAAGGATATAATTGACCATCCTCTCTTCGAAGAACCAGAACCAAAAGGAATTAGCTTTTAATTTCCCTTTCATTCCCTTGTTCTGACCTTATTCTGAACATTTTCCTTTTCCCCTCAAGTCCCCTGTCTCTCAGGCATGCATTCAGATGTATCCTAGCCAGCTCATCACAATGCATGCACACGGAACAAGTTGATGGAAGCAAGTGATCCCATCGTCTACAAGTGCTCAGTGTGGGAGGTACCCAGGTGGGCACCACTGGGTTCTTACCTTCCATCAAGATGTATCACACCCAGTTCTCAAGCATTCATCAATACTGCATGCACATGCTATGGATGTGCAGGAGGTAGCCAGCCATACATACATACTGGACACTTAATTTAGGGACTTATGACATAGCCAGTAAATAGTAGAAAATAACTGTATGAAATCAATCAGAATGAAGTCAATTCTCATGAGCAGGGTAGGGCCGCATGAAAAAAGCTGTAATTTTAAAACATCAATAATATGGGAAGACTAGCGTGGGCCTGTTGTATGCATGTGTTTAAATAAGGCAAGTTTGTGTCCAGAAGGGTCTGAATTTAGCAGCAAGACTGTGCAATCCAAGAGAAATACATGAGAATTTTGTTGGGTTTTTTTCTGATGTTAACTGAAAAACATAAAGTCACTTGACTGACCTAAGAGAGCAGGAATAGAAAGCTTAGAACAGTCTATAGCATAGCTATTACTTCCAACTCCCTCCACTTGTTTTTCTGTCTCTCATCAATTTCAAGACTCTCTTTGTCAATAAAGAATGCCTCAGATCAGGGCAGTTAACAAGGTTTGACCTAAAAACTAGTAGGAAGTTTACATCAGTGAGAAATCAATTTTATACAGTAAGGCAAGCATCTATGATCCAAGTCACATATGGACAACATGCAGAAAACTCTTACCATAAAAGAGCAGTTCAAACTCCAAAGAAGAAAACACTACCACATTTACAGATATTTTTTTTAAAAATTACTCTTAGGTAGTATGAAATCACCTTTCTGAAAACCCAGTCTGCAGGGTTACTAGATAATAATATTTGCAATAATTCCCATCGTCTTCAAACCAAACAAGGGTCAGACCAGACTGTGCTAAACACGTTATCTGAATGGTCCCGTTTCATCCTCCCAGCCACCAAGAGGACTCATTACGACCATTGTAATCTCCATTTTTTTTGGGGGGGGGGGGGAGCAGTGGGGTAACTTATCAGGAAGGTGGGATAACTTGTCCAAATTCACACAGCTAATACATGGCAGAGCTGGAGTCAAAATCAGGTAAGTACACAACTCAGCTTGTAGCTAACCCAGGGATCTGTACAGCAGAGCAGCTGAATGCTTCGCGTGGCGCCCTGGTTCACAATTTCACAATCAGAAGGTGGAGGGAAGACAGGCTGAGGACTGGCTCTTAAAGGAAACAGCAGAAGTTTGCTTTTACGTTTGTGATTTTTCTCTCTAACTCAGCTTCCTTGTTTCCTCCCAGTATTTAGTAGTGGGAGGGGGCTATACGGTTCCGTGAAGTCAACTCTTCCTAAATAAGGAGTATTCGATTCCCCACTGGGCCAACCGCTCCGCTTCTTCCGGGGCTAGGGAGAAACTGTGAGTACCATACGAGGTCACAGGCGCACGGGCGTACCTCCCTTCTCCCCAGACTCCGCCAGGAACTGGTCCGACACCTCGACACCCTAGGCAGGGGCATCTTTTCTGAGAAAGCAGGTCAGGGGAAGAGGCAGCGAGACTGCGGGCAGCATTTTCCCAGGCTGTCACAGCTCCGGGTTGGGAGCGACACAATACCTAGTGAGCATGAAGGGACACACTAACTCCTATCCTCACTGCTTACAGTAGCGGTCTGGAGAAACCAAGGCGGGGGTTGGGGGTGGGAGGGCTGCGGTGAGGAGACAAACGAGGGTAGATCCCTCAAAGGACTGAGAATGGGGGCAGCAGCGAGCAGCCGTCCCACAACTGCGTTACTTAAATCTCTGCAAAGCAAAGATGGGGCTCTGACCAGCTGGGTTCGAATCCCGGTTACAGCACTAACTAGCAGTATGCGCTATCCCAGTCGCTGCCTCATTCTGTGCCTCAGTTTCCCCTTGTGTGAAATAGGGCTGAACGAGACGATCTCTAAGAAACCATCCACCCTGAGATTCTGCAGCTCGGTGATTTCTTCCGAGCTCTCACGACAGCGCGAGACTCACCTTTCTTGGAATGCTGAGCGGCGCCGCAACAGCCGAGGAGATGAGTGCAGTGTCGCCCAGGACTGCTGCTTTCAGCCCCGGAGCCCTGGATCCGGGCAGTCTTTCCCCAATGAGCCTTTTACTTTCCGCCGCACTTTCTTTTCCCCCTTTGGGGCTCCTCCCCCGGAGCGGCGTGATTGGCCGCGGCCCCGCGGCTCAGGCTCCGCCCTCCGCCTTGGCTCGCGATCCTCCTGCGCTCCGGGTTTCCAGGAGCCGCGGCCGGGGGGCGGCTCCTTGGACGGCCCGCCCGCCACGAGGAGGAGCCGCGCCAGGCCCGCCTGCGGGCGGATGCCGGGCTGCGCTCTGCCCCTTCGGCGCCCTGCACTGCCTGTGCAGGCTAGAGCGTACCAGGAAAGGAGAGGGTGAGTTCTGCAGCTCCGCTTGGCTCGCTGCCGGCGCTCTGGGAACATACTCCCCCTCGCTTACACAGAGGCACATACATGGTCTCATTGCGAGACGGTGGTCTTGCCGTTGAGGTCCAGGCCACCCTGCCTTTTTTTCCTGTCTCTGTGTATTCAGCTATCATGTTGCAAGGCCTTGAGTCAATTCAGGTTGCACGATTTTCGCACCCACTTTGTGCCAAGCGCAGAGCACGACAGTAAGAAACAATGATGCAGTCTCAGCTGTCCTGAGCGCTTGCTGTCTTGAAGTGATCGTCTTGGGAGCAAGCAATGGATCGTGACAGCAGGATTGTATTGTCTATTGTTATTCACCCAGTACCTACCCCAGTGCCTGGCACAAGTAGGCACTCAGTATATGTACAGGGAATGAGTGAATGAATAAAGTAACTAAGAGGCTATAAAAGGAAATAATCTCAAAAAAATTGTTTTCCTTTCATTCATTCCCATTGCTCCAGGTTTTACATTCTCCAGTTCTAGATGGAAGTCTGTACAATCATCCTAATAAGCTTTTTAGTGGCTTTCCTTAAATCAACTCCCTTGTTCAGGCCTTCTGTTGGCACCTACTGGTAGTCTTTCATGATTTTTTTTCCTGACTGGCAAGACCCTTCATGAACTGCCCCCATTTCTGAAACTCCCTAAAAAGACAATCTACCACATTGACTTGTCTCCACTCATGCCTTGCTCATCACATCTCCTTGATTTTTTCTTCCACTCCTAAAGTTACCTAATGTCATCTTGCTAATTTATTTATTCAAGAAACAGAGATTCAGAGAAAGCATTTAAGGAGGATGGGAAGGAAAGGGATGTGAAAAAAGAACTGGGCCTGGGTGAGTGGTGAGGGGAAAAAAGGAAATTGGCAGATGCCAGTCCTGCTAAAGATGAGCAGAACAAAACCCAGGGGCTTCACCCCCCAAGGTGAAATAACAGTGCAATGGAAGCTACGGAAAAGTTCATGTCACTTCACTTTTTGATATCAGTTATGAAAATGAATTCCTCAAAAGAATTATTTGTCCCTGGATACCTGGCACATAGTATGTGCTCACAATATTGTTACTGAACCAAAGATAAAATAGTCCAAAATAATTGTAAAAGTTAGCTGTATGAAGTGGAAATAAAATTGCTCTTTAACTTATTATTCATTTATTGATATGTTCTGAGCACTGCGTTTTTTATGTGTAGCATATTTATCAAGCACTTATATAGAACTTAAAAGTAGCGAGCACAATCATAAGGACTTTGACTATGTGAATTCATTCAATCCTCACAAACAACAGCCTTCAGGATACTATTATTATCTACAATTTGTAAAAGAGATAAAGAGAATTTAAGTAACTTGACCAAGGCTACAAGCCTGCAAGTGGAAAATGCAAAATAAGAACCCAGGCAATCAGTGTTCATGCTCTTAAACAACCACTATAGTCTCATGTGCTTCCAAGAAGCCAGACAGATGCTGATAATTCAGAATTGAATCAGATGTAGTCCTGGACTTTGAAGGGGCTACTACGTAGCTTAATGAAAATAACTTAAGATGAATAATCATATTATGTATAATCATATAGACAGTTATTAATAGAATATTGTAATTTGAAGTTAACAAATGGTTGGAAATTAACATAATTAATTAATCATTAATCGTATGATGTATATTTATACAATAAAGTATTTGCTGTCATAATTACCATTTTATGGAGATATGTCTACTAAGAAAAAGGCTTACAATATAATGAGTAAAGTTGAGCAAAAGCTATGGAGACATATGACAGCAATTGAAAGGAATGTGAAAAAAATGTTGATGTGTAATAATTATACCAGAATAGACATACTTTTTTCTTTTAAAATTTGTTTGGTATCAAAATGCTATTGTAACAATTAAGAAAAAAATGTTTTAAAGTCCTACACATGAATATCCATCACATACTAGGCAGTCAATGTATAATCGCTGCATGAATGAATGAATAAATGAATCTGAAAACTCACTGGTATCTTTGCCTAACAGAGCTGAGTGTTTAGGAGTTGCCCAATAAAACATTTTGTGATTGATTGAAGTATTTGGAAAGATACTATAATTTTCTTCTTCTCTTTGCTACTATCTGATTTTTTTTTTTTTTTTTTTTGAGTTGGAGTCTCACTCTGTCACCTGGACTGGAGTGAAGTGGCTGCTCCCGGCCACCACAGCCTCGCCTGCTGGGCTCTGGCAATCCTTCCACCTCAGCCTTCCCAGTAGCCAGAATTACAGGCATGCGCTACCACGCCCGGCTGATTTTTTGATTTATTGTAGAGATGAGGTCTCGCTGCCCAGGCGGGTCTCGAACCCACGGGCTCAGACAATCCACTCACCTCAGCCTCCCAAAGGCACGGGATTACAGGCTGAGCCACCGAGCCTGACTACTATCTGATTTTTTTAAAGGCTATCTTTAATTATCTTACCATCGTTATAAAGGGCCATAGGATTTTTCTAGTTCCTTGATTCAATGCAATCAGACTTTTTTTCCTAACACTCCAAGTCAAGTTCTCTAATGACCTTCACCTTGCCAAATTCAGTAGTTAATTACCTGTTTTCATTTTACTTGACCTATTAACAGCACTAGACACAATCTGTTGCTCCTTCACACTCATTCTTGCTTGATTTCTTGTTTTCCATCTATTTCATCTGCTGCTCCTTATCTGACTCTTTTGTTGAATCCTCGAACTCTTCATGATTTTAAAGGTTAGAATGTCCAAGAGCTCAGTCCTTGAAGTGCTTATATTCTTTCCCTAGGGAATTTCATCCAGAAACATTAAAATATTAATTGATAATGACCTGCAAATATAAATTTAATTTATAGCCCAAACCACAGACTCTTTGTACCATATTGCCTCCTTCATATTTCTTCTTAGATTATTTTATATTCATCTCAAAATTTACATATTCAAAAATAAAACTCTTCATTTATACTCCTCACCAAACCATCTTCTCCTTAAATTTTCACAGCTTTGTATGAAAAGCCATCTTTTATTCAGTTGCCCAGGTCAAAATTTGGAGTCATCACTCTTTTTCCATCATTGCTCACATGCAATCCATCCACAAACCTACTGTTACCTCTACATTCACAACACCCTTCAAATCCAACTATTATTCTTCTCCTTCACCACAACCACCATAGTCTAAATCTTTGTTCTTTTTTCCCTAAGTCTCCCTAATTAAACTTTTGCCCAAAGAGTTTATTCCCCACACTTCAGAGATCATTATATATGGGAAGCAGAATAAATGCGGGCTAGTGATTAAGGGTAAGGTGATTAAAGTCTGAAGCCTAGGTTCAAGTTCAAAATCTGTAATATATTAACACAATATGGTCAAATTACTCAACTTTTTTATCACAATTTTATCCTCTGAAAAATATTAATGATAATAATAATGGATTATAAGGCTGTTTTAGAATTAAATAGGCCTATATAATAAAACACTTAGAGCAGAACCTATAAAGGCTATGCAAATTCTCATTTATTATTTTTTACAAGAAATATTATGCCATACTCTGTCCTCAAATATTTGGTGATTTTTCATCATGATTATGTAAATTTCCAGAGTCCTTACTGTGACCTAAAATACCCTATTTTAGGGTGTGATACAACATGGAGTTGATTCTTTGAATTTCTCATTGAATGCTTTTTTCTGTTGCCCATGCACACTAATGTGTTCCCATCACAGGGTATTTGCATTTGCTGTTCCCTCTTCCTGGGATGCTGCTCCCCTGGGCCTCACTCCCTCGTTTTATTCACATTTTCAAAAGACCGAAAAATTAACCTTCCATATGACCCAGCAATCCCCTTTCTGGGAATATACCCAGAGGAACTCAAATCATTCTACAAAAAAAAAAAAAATACCTGTACATCCGTATTTATTGCAACATTATTCACAATAGCAAAAACATGGAACCAACTGTGCTGCCCATTGAAACTGAAACTGGATGAAAAAAAATGTTGTACATATACATGATGGAATATTATGCATTTTCATTTATGTCCCTACTCAACTGGACCTTCTCAGTGAAGGCTTTCCTGAAAACCAAGTCAAATAATACTTCTTTTATCATCTGTATTATATTACATTTCAATTTATTTGTTTATTTTTTATTTTATTTTATTTTTTTGAGTTGGAGTCTCACTCTGTCACCCAGACTGGAGTGCAGTGGCCGCTTCCGGTCACCTCAGCCTCGACCTGCTGGGCTCTGGCGATCCTTCCGCCTCAGCCTTCCAAGTAGCCGGAATTACAGGCATGCGCTACCACGCCCGGCTGATTTTTTGGTTTATTGTAGAGATGAGGTCTCGCTGCCCAGGCGGGTCTCGAACCCGCGGGCTCAGGCAATTCACTCACCTCAGCCTCCCAAAGGTGCGGGATTACAGGCTGAGCCACCGAGCCCGGCTATTTGTTTATTGACTGCAATTTTCACTAGAATGCAAACTTGAGGAGGTAATATAATGTTTTCCTAGCAAATGAACAGTATTTTGTACACAGTACTCATTTAATAAACATGGATGGAATTAACAATCTATTACAAAACTCTCATGGTTAAACTAAGAAACAAAAATATTAAGTGACTAATTAATTCCCCCCTTTCTTTGATTTACATTTTTTGAAGGCAGGAATAATGGAAGAAAAGTAAGGTGACATATAACTTTCTTATTTTTTTTATTTTTTGGCAGTATGCAGAGTCAAGAAAGTACAGTATA